TGAAAAGGCCAAAATATTTTCAGTTTCAATGAGATGCTGTTTTCTAGCCAATCTCTCATGACTTTCAGATCTTTTGGGATGTCAGCATTTATTTTCTTCTTGGTCCATATTATTCTGAAAATTGTTGTGCAGTATTTCAGCTAAATAGCCCCTATATCCTTCCATAATGACTGCAAAAGTCCATGAGACAATCTATATGTTGCCACTGGGAAAATGCATGCTCTCAAAATTTTGACTTTGATTTCTTGGCTGGTGCTTAACAATGGACTTTTAATGCTGTTTAAAGAAATAAATACACAAGTGTATTCCAGAGTAGTTTTTTATTGTGTTAATAAAAGTCGGCCCCTTGTGAGAGGCAACTTTTTGTAACTTAATCTACTGAGTGTAAATACATAATCTACTGAGTGTAAATGCATCATCTACTGAGTGTAAACACATAATCTACTGAGTGCAGATGACCTATACAATTATCAGCCTAATATTATATTCCCAAGGCGCCGTCGGTCAGTGGCACAAAAATGTCCTTTGTTTTACTTTTAAGTGAATTCAAATATTCAACACACATACACCAGCATAACAAAACACTGTTCATTATCTCTTTATAGAAAGAAAAAAAAATTGTTTACTGTCTCTTTAGAAACAGAAAACATTGTTCATTATCTCTTATTAGACAAAAAACATTGTTCACTATCTCTTTATAGACAGAAAACATTGTTTATTTTCTCTTTATAGACAGAAAACATTGTTCACTATCTCTTCAAAGACAGAAAACATTGTTCAATATTTCTTTATAGACAGAAAACAATGTTCACTATTTCTTTATAGACAGAAAACATTGTTCACTATCTCTTTATAGACACAAAACATTGTTCCCTATCTCTTTATAGACAGAAAACATTAAACAGTATCATTAAACAGCCCACAGTTTCTGTATAGATAATGGAAGTCAAATAGTAAATCTCACTGTATTCATACACTTCCAACAGCAGCTAGAATGTATGTGTATAATTCAACTCCTCTAAGGAAAGTGCCTTCGTTCAGGAATTCATTATGGTCATGCAGTAGCACAGGAGTATGGTTCATTGGGGAGAATCCAAACACAGGAATATCCCTCTGTTGAAGAGTAATCAAAAGACTTCTATCAAAAAATCATGCTGAAATGTATCATTAAGTATTTAGCACGATTGTTAGTGCAAACAAAATAATGACTGGCTGAGCTGATAAGAATGTTGAGCTCTCATTCAGGACACCCAGGTTCAAGTCCTTGGTAAGCTGATGATATTTGATCTGTCACGTGCATACATAAAATCCTAACCTACACAGTCTATGACAACTGCACTAGCTATGCAGCCCTAAGTCCTCAGACTCAAGACCCTCCTGTCCTACAGATGGTACCTTTGAGGTTTTCGAGATGAAAGTATTATATTCTCCAATGTCTTTACGTCTTTGACTCCTTTGTCTCAACATCTCTGACTCCATTGTCTCAATGTCTCTAACTCCATTGTCTCAACGTCTCTGACTACATTGTCTCAATATCTCTGACTTTTTTGTCTCAACGTCTCTGACTACATTGTCTCTATGTCTCGGACTCCTTTGACTCAATGTCTCTGACTTCTTTGTCTCAACATCGCTGAGTCCTTTGTCTCAATGTCTCTGACTCCTTTGTCTCAACATTTCTGAGTCCTTTGTCTCAATGTCTCTGTCTTCTTTGTCTCAATGTCTCTGACTCCTTTGTCTCAACATCTCTGAGTCCTTTGTCTCAATGTCTCTGACTTCTTTGTCTCAACATCTCTGACTCCAATGCCCAATGTCTCTGACTCCTTTGTCTCAATGTCTCTGACTTCTTTGTCTCAACATCGCTGAGTCCTTTGTCTCAATGTCTCTGACTCCTTTGTCTCAACATTTCTGAGTCCTTTGTCTCAATGTCTCTGTCTTCTTTGTCTCAACATCTCTGAGTCCTTTGTCTCAATGTCTCTGACTCCTTTGTCTCAACATTTCTGAGTCCTTTGTCCCAATGTTTCTGACTACTTTGTCTCAACGTCTCTGGAATGAGGCACATTCAGTATAACTGCCCTGTAAATACTTCTTCCTCCACTAACCATTACAAACACAGACTGTCAGCTCTATTATTTCCTTTCACCAGCATGTCCTGGTGTGTATGCCCAAGTTTTTTTTTTTTTTTTTTTAGGTGGGACTTTTGGATGATGATGACGACCAGCTCTAGTTTAAGTTTTGCAGTTTAGTTCTTCTTGAACATACTCAATAAGTATATCACTATTAATGCGTGAGTTGCTTTCTGTGACATCTGCAATCTTAATCATCATGCTAGAAGTGGTTGGAATGAATGCCTCACCTTCTTCTGTAACTATATTCCCATCCACGTGTGCTGCATCAACCCACCCAGACTGCATCCCAACAAATCACTGAGCCATCTGTGAAGATAATGACATTACCTGGTCGAGTGTGACCATGGATGAGGGCCCTTATTTCAGCATTAGGGGCTGTTTGGCTCCACTCTCTGCCTTAGCTGCTCAAGGTGATTATTACCTCACCGTGCCTCTATCCATTCAGCCTCAAGCCTGACATGTCTCAATGGGCACATTAGGCTAATGATGTCCTCTGATTCCTCTATCCCGGACCCCTCCTTCTTTCGTCACTTTTATTCACCAGTAGACATCTTTGCAGAAAGTTGTATGTAAAACCCCAACTCCAGTACTTATCTTAAGTCACCACTGTGACTGTACTGATCTTATGTTAATACGATAATTGTATTTAGTTTACATTACAACACTTGTACTTTACCTTACGTAAGGCCCGACCATCAGTGCCAGCAGGGAAAATTTCTTTCCTCAATGTGACACCACTGAAAGATATGTGATATGTGTCGTTACTATTAAAATTATATGAGTGGGGACAAACAAGGTGAGGAAGAGTAATAGAGGGTAGGAAGAGAGAGAAACCTTCAAAATAATACAGAAGCTTCAGAAGATAGAAAGTTTCAAAACAATTTTATTTTCTCTTTTTTTCATTTGTCCTTAAAATGGTGTTTGGCATTTTTACAGCTAGACTGTGATATCTACATTTTTAAGCTCAACACATCAAATTAGAAAGGTATTTGAAGTGACTTCACCTCACTAGTTTTATCCTCTATGGCTTTGTCTCTTTCATCAGAGCAGTTGTTAACCTGCTGAGAGTGTCACACAAAGCTCATAACTCCTTAGCCCCCAGTAATGATCCCTAGGGATCTTCAAAACTCTGATACTCATGAAGAGAATGATAGTTTGTAACCAAAGCCACAAACTTCAGAGCATAAGGCACCTGGCCTAATTACTTCACTATAGAGACTCTATTGATGGCTTGAGTTCATTTTGGCCGTGTGAGTTCCAAGGACCCCATCTGAGGGGGGGAGGGGAATAGATCAACAAGCATGTTGTGTCTTAGAAAGTGACTTATTACGAGTCGGCTAAAATATGGACAACATGTCAACTGCTCATTCAGAGGCAACTGAAGAAGAAGAAAAAGAATAAGAAGAGGAAATTATTTTTAGTGAGAGACTTATCAACATAAGTTGACTAAATAAGATGTTATGACAATGAAAACACTTAATTTAAAAGGTCTAAAAATATAAGGTATATTATAGCAGGGAACTGCGAATGGGGATGTCTACCTGTGTTAATTTGATTTCCTAATGCATTTAAGCCAGAAAAGACACCAAAGTTTAAACAAGGTGTAAACACACTACTTCCTGACAAAAACAGTGAAAATAGTATCAATATTTTTTTTTAAACAGATTACAGTCAGTCTAGAATTATTATAGATGTATAACTGGTTGCTGATTTATAAGTGTGATGTATAAGTGTTTCTGATTAAAAATCATTGACTAAAACACATATGGGGTAAGTTATATCATTTTTTTTAAAAAAACAGACGTGATGTGTAGGTAAATGCCTAGTTACAGGTGTCAACTGAAGTGAGAATTGGTTTTTAAGGGCTCTCCAAAGACAATACAAATATACAGAGTTGAATCGTGGATACACAGCAGATTAGTGAAAAATTATTTACAACATGCAAAGTTGCTTTATAAGATAGGCTGAGAGTACCAGAGACCCATACACATGAAATGTAATGAAGTCCATCCGCCCTCTCCCCTCCCCCTTTTCCATACAAAATAGCTATTTGTGAATTTTTTTTTTTTAAACTATCTGCCTGCATTAGAAGAAACCTTCAACATTCTTTAGGCGTGTTATGAGAAGAATTTGCATTTCAGTAGAAAAGATTGTTGTATTCACTTCATTTGAATAAATTGTTACTGCAGAATGCATCTGACGAGATAAAATGAAATAGGCCAGGCAATAAATTGTGCAATATATTGTTTGTGTAGCGGATAGATGCTTGTGTGCAGATAGGAAGGTAGTGGGTTTGCTCCCTGGCGGACCTGGAATTTTTTTTTAAATCACATTGACTCCCATGTTGACCCAGCTTTGAGTGAGTACCGGGAATAAAGGCGGCCGGTGTGATGCTGACAACATCACCCATCTTGTGCCGATTGGTCTCTAAAATATAGATCTAGCCCTATATGCCCCATACGCCTAAAGGCGTGGGAAAAGGGATCTTTAAATTTTTTGTTATTTTTACTTTTTATATTTTTTTTCTTTATTCTACTTTACAAATGAGAAAAATAACTTTAAAAACTGCAGTATGAAGGGAAAGAGACACAGCAGAGATGAAGAGAGAAGATGTTGGTAGAGTCTGCATTCATGACAATGAGAGATATTGGTACCAATAATTATTGGCAGTACATGTTACAGAACACTGAGGGTAAATATAAAAAGATCAACACCACATGGCAGTGACTTAACAAAGAAAATATTGATATGAAAACAATACAAAACAAAATGAGAAGTAAAACAACTTAAAGTAAACAAACATAAAAAATCTGACAACATTCAAAAACACAATGAAATAACACAGAAGACACTGGTGATAAAACTCAAGCTTACGCTTTATTGCAGGCATCTTCAAATGCCACCCACCATGGATTGTTATGGTCAAGTTTGGTGATTTTATCATCCATTGTGTGCTGTAAATATCATTATTCAAAGATAACAGTGGCTTTAAAAAAGATATTTTGACAGGAATGTCAAATTATATATTCAAAACCTTTCCTTCTCAAAGATTTTCTAGTACTTTTTTTTGCCTAATGGCTAAAGAAATTTATTAACATTAAATGTGGTAAATTTAAGAAATATGAAGAAATAATACAAATATTTTGACAACCGCTAAAATCAACACTTAAAATATTATAACATTTTGGGCACATTCTGAGGAGAAGTGGAGAGAGAATCATTAAACTGGAAGTGAAGTGGGAAACCAATAGAGGAAATTATGATATCCAAGAAAAACCCTTATGCGAACATCGTTGAAAGTGTCCAGGTATGCTGTACTAGATTGTATCCATGATAACGAAAGAACAGCATCACACAGAGTGGAATGTAGGACTAAACTGAGCTGTATATGATGTTTAATAGCAATCTAAAAGCTTGCCATGGAAACTGTTATTCAGTGTTGATATTTCTGAGTAGTTATGATGGAGGCTAGTAATTGTGGTCTCTATATTTTACCAGATTTTTGGTTCCCTTCTGTTCCGGTTCTAACTTATAAAATATATATAACTTTACAACCATCATAAACATGTTGGTAATTCTGGTTAATAATAGACTATTATGTATTACTTTCATATTCAAATACATGTATATACAATACTTACATCACACAGACGAACTTTTATTTCTCACATATACTGAATGCTTCTACTGCTTGCATGAGCTCAACACATCTATTCACAAATATGTAATACTTCTATTGTGCACATACACTTTACTTCTACTGCAAACATACATTCAGTAAGGACTGCTTTTCTGGTGGTACCCAATGGTATGCGGTACCAGCATTTTTTTTCAGCCCTGCTGTAATTCACCTTGGTGAGTGTCGGTTCCTTTTCTTTAGATATGCTGTAGTGAGTTCCGTCACTCTCACTTTTTTTTTTTAAACAAAGCCATGTACCTAACACACCCAATACCCACATATAACTATTACTTACATGAAGATACCTGAAAGTGACCCCACTTCCAGCCTCTGTACACCACCTGCTGACAGTCTTGTCAAACTCAACCAGATCCGCTGTCGGTGGCACACGGATATCGAAACCTGTTGAGGAACACATCAAAATTCCCAAACACTGTTTGAAGAATTTATTGGTATTTTATGCTGTTAGTCAGTGTCTGTGGCTAAGGCTCTGTGAACACGTTTCATAATTCAGTGGTGCTGGGTTTAATCCCAGCTGCGGGCAACTTGGTAGCAGACCGGCTAGCATTGGTTTCAACCGTAATATTGACAGCCGGCCCTTCAGGGGGAAATGGCAAACTAATGAATGCATTTGCCTAGTGAAATTATAAAAACCATGCTAGAGTTGGTTCTGCAACATCACCTATAAGACATACAACTAACTTTATGCTGGAAACATTTGACAAAAATACTTTAAAAAAGACCCTTTCTACACCACTGGCACATCTAGTATATGATGCTAGGCCCACATGTTTTATACACTAGTCGACACTCAATGGGTGATGTGGTTAGAATTACACTGGCTGCCTTTACTTCCCAGAAAATCACCAGGTAGTCAGTTTAGTATGAGTCTAGCTGGGAGTTAAGGTCAGTTTTAAACAAGGTCTGCCACGATGCATGTGCATGCATTCTCAATGACTCAATAAGTATGTTCAGGAAGATAGAGCTTAATCGCGAACTTCATCCTTTGGGAGATCCTTGGAAGCTACGGTGTTGTGCATTGTGTGATGTTCCTAATGACAGTCTGTGATTGGCCTTCTCTTTCTAGTTGACAACTCCAAATTTTTGTTGACTTTAGTGAATAGTATCTCTCACACCATCTTCATGGTCTGCACTTTGGCCGACTCCCATTTAACTCTTATGTGTATGAATTTTTGGTCTCTATGTTGTCTGCTACTCTCTCTGTATGCCCCAACCATTGCAGTCTATTAGCCCTCAGGATGCCAGTAAATAGGGGTGATTTAAACATATTATGAATATTTTTGTTGCTATTGGTTATCTGTGTTTTCTGTAATTGAAGCTGGAACCAACTGTTTTCAGTAGTTGGTCAAAGACAAAGCAATAAAAACAAAGATTATGAGAATAAATTAAGCAAATAATAGCTCCTTTATGAACCCCAACTTCAAGACATGGAGTCATGCAACTATTAGGACAGCAAAATCGACAAAAGTGGAGAAACAGAGATATAAACATATAAATAGGATTACTAGCACCAGAAAATATGTGTAAATCAAAGGGAATTCAAATTAGTAGTAGTAGTAGTACATTTTACCCCACTAGGACATCACTCAAGCGATAAACACCCAATGACGCAAAGTGCAACCATGTGGATGAGTATCACCCGTGGAGAGGTCCAGGAAACAGCGTTTAGCCATTAGGCCATATGTCATTCTTAGTGTATATACAACTCCTAAGGTTGATTGATTCTGTTATATAGAGCAGAAATACAGCAAATGAGTAAAATAAATAAATAATATAAAGTAATAAATTACAAACATTCATAAAAGTGAAGATCAGAAGAAACTTTGGAATAGAAGGAAAGCTGGTTATATGTGCCCTCTTAACTGCTTACTTACCTGCTGTAAATGAATCTGGAACCACGTTATACTGCACACCACCCTGGGGACAACAGCATCATCATGCTGGTTATTGTTATCATCAGCACCCATTCATCATCATTCATCATCATTATCACCCATTCATCATCATCATCATCCATTCATCATCATCATCATCATCATCCATTCATCATCATCATCCATTCATCATCATCATCATCATCAGCACCATCATCATCAAAGTTTTATCCTGCTCCTAAAGTCATTTAATTATGTTATTTCTTTGTCATTTAGCCTCAGAGTTACTCAGGAATTAATGTGTGACAAGTATCTGTGATAGAGAAACAGTTAAATGTCTCAGACAAGGTTTAGTTAATGTCGGAGGAGTTGTGTATGCACATTCGTTTTACAGGTCAGTAAGCAGACTGTTGGTTCCAATCTCTCAGACAGACACACTTTAAAGGAAATGCCCCTAATTATTCAACTTTTTTTGGGGGGCAAAATAGTTAAAGTAATGCCTAGTTGAACAAAATATATTTAGGTCGGAAAAATATAAGACAGATTTAGAAACAATCATGTAGTTAAAAAATGTGTTCATTAAATTAACCCCCCCCCCCCCCCCCTTTCCCCTTTTTCCTTCTTTGTGGGGGAGGGGTGGTGGGGGGTGGGGAGGTTCTAATAAATACATAAAGGGCACAAAGGCACAGTGGGCTATTTGTTGAACGTTGAATTCAGAATTGACATTCAAGACACTTTCATAAGCGCTCAATCTCCATCTTCAGCAGCATACAAAGAGTTTTAATTCTGATTGCACCAGTAACTGTCTGACTGTATATCCATTTCGCCTTTCCCCTTGAGTGTTCAGCATTAGCCAGATCCCCTGTTAGGTCCTCAACAATGGGATAGTACTTGGTGTAGTCATTAGGGATATTCTAATTATAACATTTTAGAATAGGCTGCGGCATCTGGGATTTGTTCTCTTGATTTGGCATACTCTTCCTTCTTCTTCTTCTCCTCCTCCTTATCCTCTTTCTTTTGTGTTCATGCTGTCATATTGTGGTTTACAAATAGGTTGTAATATCTGCACATTTTGGTCAACACTTCTAATTTCAGCAAACCTGTATTTAATAACTTTTTATGACAAGATTGTTAGAAGCCAATGTGTCTTTTCTTTACTTGACCAAAATTACACCCAGAACCAATGCATCGCAGGGTTGGTCACACCTCCCTGCATGTAGCATCCCAAAAAACAAAAACAGACATTCAAGTATAATGAACTGGCCAGGTACCCCTTACCTTCAGCATTGTCAAATTGACAGAAATAACGTCTCCCAAACTCAGAGAACTGTCTTCTTGTAACCTGTTAAAGAAAATATTACTGTAAAATTATGAGATGTGGATGCATGAGGTGACTAGTGTGCTTGTCTCTGAAACAGTGGTCAAAATGTAGAGCAATTCTTTCTAAACGTTACAGGATAACACAAGCGTTTTACTAGTGTGAGTACCAAGCCTTTTCTAGATCTGTGAGAAGCCTTCATATGTGTGTGTGTGTGTGTGTGTGCGTGCGAGCATGCATGTGTGTGTGTATGGAAAATAAATTTAATGGGCTATAAATGGACTCATCAAACAGACTCAAGTAGAAAAAGAGATAGAGAGAGAGAGTAGAATGAGAAGTAGGAGCGTAGAAGCACTTAAAAGCAAGTAGGTAGATAGGTAGGTAGTTAGGTAGGTAGGTATTAAGGTAGTTAGGTAGATGGGTTGGTAGGTAGGTGGCTTTCTGGCTAGGTAGATGCTTGAGTAAAGCTGGTATGCAGGTGTATAGGCATATTGATACATACTTATATAGTTAGGAAGGTTTGATAGGGGGCTGGATGGGTAGATTGTCTGGGTCAATCTGTTTATATGTATGTATATATGTAAGTAGGTTTGGTGTCGTATGGCTGTGTGTTACATCATATAGCTTCACTAACGAGACCCAGAATCGGCACATGTCCACTCCAGTGAATACATTATCGGTGATTTTTAAATACTAAGCTTTCCAGTGTCCCCATACTTGGATATATAATCATTAACACCCCTCTCTGCATTCTCTTCCTAACGTGATAATGATCTGATGGTAACTGCTGTTGTGGGTGTTCGTGTCGATCCATTCCTGCCCTCTGTGCATTTGCTTCACTGAGGGCGCCGTTTCGATGGTATCTTCAGCTAGTGCCATCCATGACTTTTCTCTTTTCAACCAGTCTTTTCTCAAATCGTTCAAATTACCATGCAGCGGATGCCTTTCATGATTGGTAACTTGCAATTGTCCTTGGCTTGCGCCAGTGACAGTCTAGACTTCACCAATGTTAGCCTAAGTATAAATGTCATTTTTCTTATTGGGATGTCCCGTGTGCAACCCAAGACGATTCTCATCACTACATTTTGAATCCTTTCAAGCTGTGTACACTGTGAAGTAGATCGGGTTAATATTCCTAAGCCATAATCGATTACAGAAAAGACCAAATGGTTTAACAATAAGACCAATAATCTCTGTTCCATGTGTGTCATCACCATCATCTTCAGTGTCGCCAGGCCACGCTTGCATTTGACCACAGTCTGCTCCATGTGATATTTGTGTTTAAACGTCAAACTTAAGTATTTGAACTTATCTCTTCTTTCAACAGTAATATCCTTCATGGATATGTTGGGCCCTTTATGGATATGTTGGGCAAGTCTTCCTTTCCAATGCTGTTATTTAAAGAGCACACCAAAACACTGGCCTTCTCTGGGATTACCCTTGACCATTCCGTCAAGCACTTTGCAAGTCTCTGGTCAAGTCCTGCCTTTCTGACCCGCTTCGATACACTAGGACATCATTTGCAAATGTCAAGGTTCACCCTGGTCCAGTTGGCTGAATTTTTGCCAAACTTGCTATCTATATGTTAAACAAAACAGGTGACAATGGTGATCCCTGGGAAAGGCCTGGGCAAATGCGTACTGGAGCTGATCTCCATGTTCCCAAACAAAATACCACTCTTCTTTTGAAACAATGCCGCCCCCCCCCCTCTCTCCCCCATCCACTTGGCTAAGGGTTCACGTAACAGTCCATCACTCACTACAGAAGATATGTGAAGTTAACTCTGTTATAAGCATCTTCAAGATTTATCGCGACTGTTTCTTACTTTCGCTGAAATCCTTTATGCATGCGAACGCTCCAGCATTGTACGATGTTGATTTTCATGGCCTTGTTTAACATAAATTTCTGTAGCCTATGGTGCCATGCCATTTCAGTGGTTTGAGATGAATTTTTGTCCGTACTCCATAGTGTGAATTTCAAGTTGTATGGTGGACATGGCCAATGTGGACACCTTTTTATTTATTTTCATATGGGGGGGGGGGGGGGCGTTTACGTTCTTAGTTGGTTATGTTCTTAGTACACTTGTTTCCATAGCGAGGCGCACACGTTATATGGCAGTTTCAAGTTCGATTCGATTTTTATGTTGTCTAGTGTGTCCTATATTTCTACTTTTTTCTATGAGTGCCAATTAATATATTGTCTGATTGTTTATTATTAATTAATTTATATATATATATATATATATATATATATATATATATATATATATATATATATATATATATATATATATATATATACACACACACACACACACATGCATTCATACATATAAAGGTTAATGTGGGCCTAGGGGGTGGAGATGATTTCTGCCTCACTGGCCCATGGAGATGGTACTTTAGTGCTTGGTCGGCTATAGCAGCTTCATTTTAACAGATGCCTCGTCCTTTCAGTGTGGCGTCCGTGGCTTATGCGTTGCGAGTCCGACTTGTAATTCCAAAGTACCGCGAACAAAACCCACTGCTGGCTGCGTAGATTTTTATCATGGAATATGACGTCGCAGATCCACTCAGCCTTAAATGGGTACCAGGATGGCTATCCTGGTTAAGTTATGCTGACATTACCCACCTAGTGCCGATTGGTCTGTAAAAAAGGGGGCGCTCTTCCCATGTATCCGATAGTCTAAAGGCGTGAAAAGGGATCTTTACTTTTACTTGTCCTTTTAGGGCTCATACGATCGGATCGCCAGTGCACTGAACATTTCAACGTGTTTTTTTAAGGGATCCAATTAAAAATTACACTACTTTAACTACACTGCAATTGTTTTTTCTTTCCCATCTTCCTATAGAGGGTCTGCCCTCAATTAAATTGAGAGCTTTTAATGACAATACATATCGACTAATTCTTTCTCCAAACTGCACTAGCGGATAAATTTTTAGTTTTAGGTGCACATTCGTATAAAGAGGTGTATAAAATACACAAGATGTAACAGAGAAAAATAATAAGATAGTACAGGCAACATTGATTTTATTACATCACAGATTGTTTGGAACAGTGAGAAAGCATGTCACAAAGTATAGGGACAAGTGATAACACCGTGCTATAGCGTCTGAGAAAAACTGACAAACTCACACCACAGCTCATAGGGAAATTTGATAACAGAATGTCTTGTCTCCCCCCCCCCCCCCCCTTGCCCCCCCCCCCCTCCCATTCAAGCAGGCAAACTGACAAATGGATTGAAATATCAGTAGAACAGACATATAGTAGGTAACGCTTTTTTTTTTTTTTTTCTACACAAGTGACGCCATACTAAGTAAGTCGGTGAGAAAACGACTTCAAATAATGAACTGTTCTACATCCTAGACATAAAACAGGAAGCTCATAGAAAAAGGACAGAATTCAAGTTCTAAAGTGATATCCCAGTTAGCTAACATAAAAGTCAACTAATTTAATCCCCATCAAAGTTAGTGGATGAAAAAAAGGCTGCATTATTGGACCACTCACGCATCTCAGATAACAGTACGTGGCTTTGTAAACATGACCACAATCTCGTGACTGATGGCCAATCTGTCAAGATTATTCTGTATTAGCTCCTGATTTACGCGCGTCCATGACTTTGAAGCCATATCCTGCTCGTCTGCTCCTTTCCTGTGTTATTTCCCGCCTTTTTCTTTCTGAGTCATATCCGTTTCTATATCTTTTCACTGAGGCTTGTGGTGAAATAG